CCGCCGACCAGGCATCCCCCGCCCTGCACCCCACCCCAGGGGGTGCAGCAAGACGGGGGGCGCAAAACAAACACATAGACTAGTCTATATATTCCCACAAAAATAAAAAAATGAAAAATCGAAGGACAATGTACACCAGTACCAGGTACTACAGCAGTGCAGTATGCACCAGCGCATTAGTGTAGGGTAGGCACCGCACCAAAGAGGCAGCAGAGGTGGCAGGCAGCCAGCAAAGGAAAAAACAAAAATAACAAGGAGCTCGAGGTATCGTCCAAGATCATCGTAGAGAGGGCATGGAGAACAAGAAAGAAAGAAAGAAGAAAAGCACAAAGAGAGGCCGGAGGCAATACTAAGAGCATACAGCTTACGGCAGGGAAAAGGGAACACAGGGTGCGACAACATCATCAGTTGGGTACATATGTATGTGTGTGTTCGCACCACCTTTGCACCGATAAACAAGCCGTTTGAGGATCGTTTTCGGTGCGAAAATTGCACAAGCTGTAGCGTAGCAAGGCCATCATTCCGCACCCAAGCGTTTCTCATTTCGTGCCCGCGTCGCTGCGTTCGGTGCCGGTATGTACACTATTCACAATCCGTTTCATCGATAACTGCGCCAATTGGCGACGTTCTGCAAAAAAAACGAGTGCCCAAGCCTACTCCTAATAGGTCAACACTTCTCGCGTCGTTGTTTCCTTGCACCAACCCCTAAATCACTCGTTCACACCCGGTTTGTCCTCTCTTTGCGGCGTCCTTCAACTACAGTTGTCATTTGGGACACGTGCGTGTCGGTTTGGTTCTGCTGCATGTGTGTGTCGGTTTGACGTCGTCCACACCGAGTGGCCAACTTTGGCACGTGTTCAGACCAGCTACCACGCATCTCCTCCTCTACAGCTCGCGGCTTTCACTATCTGCATATCACAGAGGGTGTTCGCGTGTGGTTTGTAGACCACGACAGGGCGTAGTGAGGAGGGGCTCGCGATCGGCGACAACTCGCGTGCTAGTTCAAATATTCTGCTGCTGCGGCTGTGTCTGAGTGGTGGGGCATTTTTTTCTACTTCTTTATTTATTAACGCATACCGAGTGCTGGCAACAACGATTCGCATCAACAACATCGCATCAACAACATTTCGGGTGTGTGTACCAAAACAAAAGCAACACGTATTCACGGGGGGCGCACGACCCAGCCTACTGCAGGTACTTTCCGCAGCACGGGTTGTGCTGTTGTGATGGTGCGCACGGAAAAAACTCTCCCCACTCGGGGTCTAGTAACTGATTTTTTTATTGGCTTCCCTCACACCTCAATCAATATATTGTAATACTGCTGTGTAGTAAACGGGCCAATGGTAGCAACACACGAGCCTACTTACTGCAGTACATTGTTCAACAAAAAACTATCCATCTCCCGATCTAGTAATGAGCCGCGGAGCGAGCGAAGCGTTCCACATTTTTTCCCTTCGTCCTCAGGAAGGAAGAAAGGCTCTACGGCCAAAGTTGCGCCGCCCGATACAGGGGCCCCAAAACTTGTTTTCCGGGAAGCCTATTTAGCACATCTTTGGAACCAGAACGAGATCTACAGGGCACCGGTTGACGATCTGCTCGCTTCTGAGGAGGAAGAAAACTAGCGCGCTCTTATTCACACCGGTTTCGTCGTGTTCCGAGAGTAGATGGCCGTGCTTCACCGGCATATATATGTACCCAAGAAAGAGCCGCATGTAAAGTGCAAAATTTTGAACGGTGACCGTACAATCATCGTCGCTCCCGTCGCACGCCTGTTGTCCCTCTGTGGTGCACGCGTAGCTGCACCACAAACGATTCACGCTGGTATCTGTCGGGATTCATGCAACATCAGCATCGCAGAGAAGACTACTGCAGCAAGGTATTGAGTCGCACCACGCGGCTCATCCCCTCCCGACCTAGTTTTTTTATGGAATCGACCGCGCTAACCGGCTGACCAATGAAAAGACGTCAGTCTCAGTGCGGTTAGAAACACATAACAGGTACTGGTAGCTTTTCGCTCACGCAATGGATTCATTGCTAATCTATCCTCGACTTGTTTCTATAGATAGAGATGGATTTGTTGTGTGAAACTAGGAAAATATAACACTTCTAGTCAATGTTCTGAATGTTGCATGAAGATATGAAAAATATATATGTGACAACAACAACCAACCATTAGCGGCGCGGTTCATAGTATTCTGTGGCAACTTGAATTCTGACATACCCCCCAAACAACCATAGACGACCACGACAAGCGCCGTAAGTCGGTTGCTTGCCAGGAAACAAATTACCCGCCGTGTGGGGGACCTTGAAGTTGGACGCCACAGCTTTCCTTGATATCATCTCGTGTTCCCCGCACGCAAAAAGGACATCTATCTCACCGTAGAAGTATACATCCACGGGGATAATATCTGCTGTAAAAGATTCGCGGTGCCCGTCAGTAGTGCCGCTAGTA